ATCCTCTTCGAGGCATGCTTGACCGGTGTCTTGCATCATGTCCCCCGACGCCCTCACGACAGAGAACGGAGTCATCTCGTGCGCAGTGGCAGCGTCTTCATCTACGAGGAGAATGCATCCGGCATCAAACGCTGGACTGATGGAGTCACCTGGAGTCCCAGTCGCATTCTGGGTAATTTCCTTGTTTATCGTGAACTAGACAAGCCATTTCCTCCGGGGGAGAAGAAGCGCGCCATGAAGAAGGCCACTCGACGACCAGTGCCAGCCGGACGGCCAGGCGAACCTTATCCGCGACACGATAGCAGCCAGGGCTATTCCCCCACATCTCCCAGCTCAGCCCCCTTCACAGACCGTTCATCCCATCAATCGGAGCTCGAGCGGGCATTGGTTGGGTCCCTGGTTGATTCGTACGGATTCAAGGACTCCGGGTTGGTCAAGAAGACAATGAGCGTGACGGTTTTGGGCGTGACCCACCATTTGGTCTCATATTACAGTGTGGAGGACGTGATGCGCGGCATCCTTAACCCACCCTCGATGGTGGATTCCCTACGCTTTATCCGACCCCGCACCGAACTCACCCAGAAACAAAGCTTCCGTTCCCCGATCGATGAGCTCGAAGCCAACGCAGTGGAAACCCAGGAGCCCTCCCACGCCGCTCTCTACGGATATCGCCCGCAGATGATGGCCCCGCCTACTTACGCCATGCCAAATCCTTCAACCGACTTCTACATGCACCCCAGTCCCTATGCCGCCACACATCCCCCGCAACAAGGCCCAATCCAGGGATACTCAATGGGCGCCCCGATGCCAAGCCAATCTGCGCCAAATCCGTACCTGCCAAATCCAGGGCAATCCGCCATCCCCCCAAAGCAGGAAGACTACCATGCATTCCGCGCAGGACCCTACGGCGGCAGCATGGACTCGATGAGCGCACACAGCATGGCCTCCATCCCAGGCGGTATCAACGCAGGACTCCCCAGCTCGCTCAACGAACGCAACAGATCAACCTCGGAACACAGCCCTTCCGCCTACCGCAACTCCTCCATCTCTTCGCGCAGCCAAGCAACTGACGCTACTTCCCCAATGGATCCTTCCACGCCGGCAACCTACTCCCGCGGCAGCTTCAGCATGTCCGCCCAGATGGAAAACCCCCATCCGGCACTCGATCGCAATATGCCTGGTCTCGATCCTAACGTTCCTCGTCGCGAATCAAATCCCATTCATCCGTCCTACTACGCTACGGATCGCTCCCAGTACTACGTACCCGCGCCTTATGCTGCCACGCAACCCATGTCGACATGGACGACTACGGCAGCGACGCAACCGCAAATGGCGCAACCTCAAATCTAATCCCTTGATACCTTGCTTATGGCCATGGAGCGTGGGAGTCAGGGCGGAATTTTGTTTTTCTATTCTTTTGTTGATCAATGATCAACTTGCTTTTTTTTTTTTTTTTTTTCATCTGGAGATAGACACCTCACGCTTCTGTTATGTTTGGGAGGAAAACGCCGTTTTATTGCTACAATATGTACCTGACAGCGGCTATACTCGTCTCTTTGTCTCTTGTCTATATGGTTATGGTCTCTTTGCTTTATGGTTACGGCGGTGGCTCTTCGTCTTTTTTTCCTGCTTTTTACCGTTTTGGCTTTTACTTTTTACCCCCTTTTGCCTTGTTTGTTCTTTTCTCTTTCGGTGGCTCTCTGATATGGATTCTGTTCTGGGAATCCGGGTGGCGTTCTTTTATTCTTCACGATGTCATGCAACAACCCGATAACCCCAAAACGGTTCTACTTTTTTTTATTACTACTTCTTTGACTTCCTTGCTCTCCTATACTCTATCCTCTATTCGCTGCCAAGGCGGCGGCCCTCCCTGTATGTTTGTCTGCGATCACAAACGGTGTCCCAAAGTTTTCTTTTTCCAACATCTGGTCTGGGCAGGTTCCTCTTCTCGATTCTCTGTTCTCTGTTCTATCCAGTTCCCGGGGGGACAGGATTTAGTGATTCCCATCTCATTCCATGGTCAATGGTCAAAGATTGCTTCAATGCGTCCTTTTTTCTTCCGCTTTCTTGGGTTTGGTTCTGGGGGCTGGCTATTATCAATATGTGCGTGTACTTCATACTCGATTCCCCGTCTATAGTATGGATTATAGGCTTGTGCACTACTGGTGGCTTTTTGATATTCATAATTCCCCAATTCCAATATTAGCTGCTTCTGTCTGACTATGATTTCCAATTGCTGTACCTCTCTCTCTCTCTCTCTCTCTCTATGCTTTCCTGCTCTGTGCATTTGCTAGAATGGTAGATGTATTACCAAACTATATTCTGTCTCGAGATTTTTGTGCTATTTAACCAAGGTTTATACTAACTGACTGCTAGTATATATCTCCTCTAACTCCGGAAGGTATGTTTCCTGCGCTTGCTAATATGTTTATATTCTTGCTTTGTTGCCTCGATGTTGGTATGGGTATGCTTTCTTTATATATATATTATCAGAATACACTCTTCAGCCCACATCCATTATCCTGGGAACTAAATAGAATACATACATATGTAGCTATATCGGATGGATGAGGTATAGAGCAAGGTGATCGATCGTATGTGTTGTGTGATCGAGTTGATGGAGTAAGAAGGCAAATGGTGGATGACGAAGGTGAATGTAGGAAGATCGATGGAGAAGATGATAGTTAAGAGAAGATCGATTAACTTGCTCTATAACTCATCCACCTCTGTTTACTCCATCACGATGGAAATCGGAATTTCTTGAGATTGTCTTATATCACATCCATTGCATGGTGCTTTTAAATGTACACGGGGACATAAAGCACACACACAGTAAATTAATTCAAGTTATACTTAAGTGGCTAGGAATGGCCGAACAACACTTTTTACAATATCAATTGTCTGGGATGCCAGGCGTCCCCACTGGCGTCCCCCGCCGGCATGGCACCAGGCATATCAAAATGGTCACTGGTAGCACCACCACTCTGTTGCCTCGTCATGCTCGAGCTGCGCAAGCCACCCATATCAACATTGAAATTATTCATGCGCGAGCCTAATCGTGCATCCAGGCCACCACGGAACCGCAGCCCCTCCGGCTCCCGACCATGATCGTCAGAGAACCGGGGCGGCCCTGATGCTTCGGTAGAGCCCGCGCTGCGTGGTGGAGCCGTTGACCCAGCATCCGAGTCTTCCCCGGGTCGGACGCCTGTCCTGCCCATGCGCGGCCACAGGTCTGGAAGTCCGACGACTTGCACCCGAGGTTCGACGACGCGCTCCTCGAACCACGCGTGGACTCGCGCTTCGACGAGCTGGGCTATTTTCGGCACATCCTGCAGTCGGCTGCGGGAGCCGATGAGTGAGCGCACGGAGAGGTCTAGGCGGTAATCTGGGAGGAAAGAGAATGCGACGTTGCTTTTCGGGCTGCTTTTTGGCGGGAGGTGGTCTTGTGAGGTTGTGTGCTCTCCGGAACCAGAGGGTCGATTGCCTGTGTTGTCCCTTGTGTCTGATGTAGGGGGCGCTGGTGAACCGTCAGGCATCTGAAGTGGCTCTGGTGGCTCGGTTGACGCTGGGATCAAGGAAATACAAAGTGTTCCCGAAAATCTTACGACCGAGACTGATAGCGCTACTGGTATGATTGCAGAGCGTGGTTTGGGGTAGTTCAGAACCATGGATGTCTCAACCGCAATAGAAAGGTTATCATCGCTGAGATCGACATCGAGTAGCGCCTGTAGCCGTCCACCGTCCGACATGGGGTCTTCAACGGCGATGATGCGGCAGTTGCTGAAGATTGGAAATTCTTCACCTAGTGAGATATCGGTGACGTTTATCTTGTCTATGAAGGATGGTTTTTTCTCCGGGTTGTTCATTGCCGCCGTCAGGGAGCTGAGAATCGATGAAGTGGGCGAGTCCTTGAGGGAATACGCTGTTTCCCGATACTGAGCAATTGTCTGCGCAATGAGAACATTGAACCAGTCCAGCGACTCGGGCTGATGCGAGGAGTGATGCATGCGGTGTCGGCCATGTTTGCTCGTAGGGTTGGTAGGAATGGCACTATAATAGGTTTTGCGGAGGATGGAGCGGGTGTTGGTAGAGGTGGAAGGTACGGGGCGAAGAACATTCGATGTGGACGGTTTTTCTCGTAATGACTTTTGGCTATCTTGAGGAGGGTTGTAGACCGAGCTGTAGCGGCGGTGGGTTGTGCGGTTTGACATGCCCCGGGACGGAGGGGGCGGCGCTTCACCAAAAATGAAAAACTTGATGAAAGCGCCGATCAGAAGTACTACTGAGAGTTGGCCGAGAAGAAACCCTTGCGTGAAGGACAAGCTAAGAAGGTGTTAGCGAGATCATATAGTCCACTCCACGAGCAGAGGGCGTACGAGGACTGAGGCGCAAATTGTGCGGGCTCATCTGCATTATTGTTAGCATACAGGTTTAATCCCTTGGAGATAGCATCACTCACTATTTTGGAGCGCCATTGTCAGCGGCTGTCGACAATCCTTGCTCACAGTACCATCTCTAAGTGGAGAAGATGTTCCAACTTCGGATCTCCAGGGCTAGCTTGGCGGAACAGCATATCTCTTATCGCTGATATGCCACTCTTGACCGCCTGCCTCTAAAACTTTAAGGAAGTGCCCTTATCTATTTCGGGACTAGCGTCACTTGCATCTATAAAATACGATGAACGCCTGCCACTCGTCTAGTTGCGTATCAATCGGGGTAATATTCTCCCTCGTTCAAATAATATAAATCCAATAGTCACCATACACTGCGCAGCCTCAAGTTCAAGGATGATTCGACCTCTGGGAACCCTAGCGTCTAGACCAGGTTGAGCAATATATATATCATAGCGCACTGGTGGCTACAACGCAGTCTTTTAGACTTGCCAAGAGCTTTTAATTTATCATTTCAAGAAGCTATCTCGATGTTTGGAGGTAATCATGGATAATAATACATAAGTAAAAGCAAGCGTAGTACCAGAATGATATGACATGACTAGTTGACTACCCACCACTCGTGTGTCCGCGCATCATAGGGTCCCCAAACAGCAACAGCAGTTCGACATAAGGTATATGTTCTGACTGGGGACATTCTATAGCAGTTTTGAAGTCCATGATCACGGCTCCTATCTCCCTTTGATACAAAACGCTGTGCTTTCCAGCATCGGGCACGTGGATTGGCAGAGACCGAAGAATGCGGATGGCCTTCTCATATTCCTCACGGACGTCGGTTTGCTCGCGGTTTCTAAGTTCGTTCCAGACATCGGCGAGGATCCGTCCATCCTTAGAGGGGAGGACAAGCGCCCTTCCGCCAGGAAATTACCTCGAGCACAGTATGTTCCCAGCAAATATCATGTTCGCGAAGACATCGTAACCCCTAGGCCGTGAGTCTGACAGACGCTCGTAGACACCACATTCCGCATTTGACCTAGACGAATATATATGGTAAGATAAGGACTAGGATAATAGCAATGGGAAATGTACTTACGCCCGATCGTGTCTGGGACTCCAACACTTCACGATATGGCGTGTTCCTTAGTGTTCAATCTCGAAGAGAGCCTTGTTTGTCTGGCTAGGGGGTAAAATCCTCCGGGACACGTTTAAGATAGAAAGCGCTCCTCCCTGGTGGCTGAGAATGATTGCATTCGCATTATTAGATCTACTCTACGTTGTATTTATGAATTGAAGCCTACCCGATGCTTAAATATATCTAAATACCTACAACATAAAATTAATGCCTTCTGAAATAGGTATGGGGACTTATAAAATGAATTGAACCTGAACGGAATCTGAACTGAATCTGAACTGAATCTGAACTGAATCTGAACTAATCTGAACTAAGTTGTATTGTAGAGGGTAGTTGAAGAAGGAAGAATTCAAAATCATAGCTATACATACATGGTCAATACAATACGCTAAATTCAATTAGGAAGAGAATTAGTATATCTCTTAGTCGCTAGTTTAGGGGTAGGTGAATCTTTATAGGGTAGACTGTTATAGGTAAGTTATACAAAAGATATATAAATTGGTGAAAAATGGTTATCTAGTAGGGCGTACCAATAGTCAATAGGTATGTTGTGTTTCAAACTATTGTTCTGCGCTTACAAAATCAGTGCCACGTTCTTAACTTCTCCTCACGCACACAGTGTTTCAAGTGCAGAGATCCACGACCCAGTACGTACAATTCTTTCAACTACACTTTGCCCAACCCCCTATGTATGCAAATTCGTACTACACCCTAGTCATGCCATCCCTCGGATCCGAATATTGACTCTTGAAGCCGACCTATATCATAGGTTCATTTTCATCCTCGTCCTGCTCCCGCTGTCTACCCTCCTTCACTTATCGCCATTCGTTGCATGCTTCAATTTCGAACGATAAATCTCGGGCTCAAAAGAAGGTGTGAAATCGGCCCTCAGCCCCCACAAGAAACACGGAAGTTACAACCCAATCGAAATCACCGCGCACTGGCACCGCAACAAACGCTTCCCAGGACGAGAGAAACTCAAGTTAACTCTCGCATAGGCCGAGGAGAAGGGGTTAACCATCCCCTCCCAGGTACTAAAGGTGAACAAGGAGACGCGTGCATTCACTACTATGGAAATGTTCCGCGATTACCTTCGGGCCATATATAATTGACGTCAACTCGGACTCAATTTACACTCAGTGAGAATGATATACACATCTCCCATGGAAGACGATACGTATGAGGATGGTAAAATGGGAAAAGGCTTTGAAGAAGCCTTGATGGCAGAAACGGAAGCTGGATCACAGGGCCACGACAGCTGGCACATCCAAAGACCTGGAGAAATTGACAAAAAGAACGCAGCCCAGCGACCAAGTCCGTTACCAGATGGCTATTCTAAGCCTACCCTATGATAAGGAATGGCAAATGGAAGACCTGGACAGTCCGAAGGTTTTTATGATTGCTCTGCGGTTGGTATACAATCGCATTCGTGGTGTCAAGGTGCTGCACCTTGGGACGAGCATTCACATAAAATATGATGAAGTCAGTGCCGATCAACTGAGACGGCTTGGGCAAGTTTTCGAGCGGGATGGAGGAAATGGAGGCTGGAGGAAATTGCCGCGCGGAAGAGACCGCTTTACACTTACCGCCTTTATCGGGTGGGATAGTCCTTCCTCCCCACTTTAATTCGTATTCGTTAGTTAATCAAGCACCATCCATTTTTCATCGTTTTCCATCGGATAAATCGTGTTTTCCATCGAATTGAGTACAATCCGGGATCCCCATAGTTGTCGAGAGGCGTCCCCGGTCCGGAGAGCACATCAGAAGAAGTCTGTTGGAAGGGTGAAGCCTGCGAGGTGCGGGTCAGATCCCTGTCTGACAGAGAGCATCAAGATGAAGAGTTTAAGGAGCAAATTCGAGCTCATCCATTCTGCGCTGGGCCAATAGATAAAAATTGGATGTCGAGTGCAGAGAGGGACTCAACACAGAGTTCGGGATGCTGGCATGAACAATGACAACCCCGCTGCACGTATTGCGGCGCTTGATATAGCAAACATAAAGTTCGGCCACTTCTCGGTCAACAGTGAAGTAAAGATCGCCCTCTCTTAAACCCGGGTGCATGTATATTGTAGATATTGAAGAGTGGTGATGGTGATTGCTATGTCCGGGCTACGCTCCAATATGGACAAAGGGTGCCCACCCCAGCACATTGCCCGGTTTCTTCTTCTTCAACCTGCATACTGCTACATGGAGAGCATAAGAGACCACTTCATGGTTGATAGATTCTCCGCATTTCCGCAGCTGGTCGGCGAGGGTCTTGTAGAATGTTTCCGCCACCTCGATGGCGCATCGGTCGTCAGTCTCCCACAGGGTGCCCACCACGTGAGGGAAACCCACCAGCTGAAATGCATGGGCGAGATGTGTGATCTCGTCCTCTGTTCCAATGTCCACCATCTCTGCCGTCGAGCAAGCCGACAAGTATGCGATGAGCGCCGGTTCATGGCGCAACCCGACTAATTCCTCGATCGTAAGCTCTTCGGATCTGATGCTTGATGGGTCTTCGGAGGGGTTGAGAATGAGATGGGACCACTTTGGGCATATATGGACTAGCCCATGACATGCCAGATGCACTATATGACTCTGCTCCATGCTCTGCAGTACCTGGGACTTGGTAGGCTGAATGAGAGTAGTTATTGATGCTCGGTCATCGAAAACCTGTGCGATTACCTCTACTTCTTTTTCAGTCGCAAGAGGGGGCATGTTCGGAGTTTGTGGCATGGCAGCAATCAGCATATTTACAGTACTGCTGAGAAGAGGTTGCAAATTGCGCTCGCGGGCATAGTGTAATGACTTCAGTGTCGGAATGTAGCTGGATACGACATAGTCGGTGGTCGTGTGTGCTGCATTGCCCGCCGCATGAAGAGGCATCATTCCCATCGGTCCACTTGTCACCCACCAGATATGCGGGAGAGGGCCTGTCGGGGTGAGTAGCCTCAGCTGCTGAAGCACAGGATGAACTGCAACATCCCAGAGCCACTCTAGGATTCCTTTCAGCCTCTGTTGCCTCAAACCTTTAGTGGAAGGTAACCCAGAAGTTATCTTTCCAGGCCCCATAAGCTTTGTAGCATATTCCTCCAGTTCACTCTTTTTGAGACCTGGGAGGGATAGAGAAATCACACCGTCGCGTTGAGTGACCAGAAGAGCATCACTGCGATATTTGACGACATTAAAAACAACTATTGGCCCGCGATCAGACAGGTTGACGAGTTCAGCTGGGGAGGGTGGGAGGCAAAATGTCTCGAATCCCTCGTGGCCCCTGATGTGGCGTTGCAAGAGAGCCAAATTTAGCTGGTTTCTGTAGCGCTTGATGCTTATCTTGCCTCCCTTGAGTTGGGCGTAGCCAGGATAGTCCTTTGGCTCTGATAGCGCAGTCCGCTCTCGAATAATTCTGTAATGATCGTATATTTCGTGATTCATTCGCTTGAGAGTCGAGATATCACTGCGCGAATCAATGATCTGGCCCGAGATAAAACCACGTCCAGTTTCTAGAACGAGAAGGGCATCGCATGCAATACCGCCATCCTGCAGAATAGCCGCTGCTGCTCTTATAGAAATTTCACCGATTTTATGGATGGTCACGGTTGGAAGGTCGATCGCTTGTCTAAATGTAAAGGGAAGATCCGCCAACAGCCTCACGGTGGTTTCCAGAATTCTTCTTGCGCTAGACCAGTTCTTCTTCGTAACGTAGTGTTCAGACGCCCATATACCCGCAAAAATCCGCTGAACAGTGGATAGGTTTACAGAGCACGGAACATGCATATAGAACTTAATAGCATGATTCTGGTCACTCTTGCTGTCGGAGAATTTGAATCGACTGCTAGAAAGTTTAGCGATACGCCACATCAACTTTCCGGTTTGTGGATTGTCGATTTCCGACGTCTCGAGTGCGAGCTCGGCGGCTCGGATTGCTGCTTTGTGGATGGATAAATATTCCTTCTTCTCAATAAAGCAGCCCTGGCGGTATTTCACACAGGCTCGCAGAGCATCTGCTGCATCCATGGGCGTTGTCGTTGGCAAGACGGCAACATGCTGCCCAGTCAGAAAAGCAACTTCCACATCGACAGCCCCCCGGTATTTCCTGTGTCGAAAATGGAAGGCGTTTGCAAGACCGCCAAGATACAGAGGCATATGCATATCTGCCCTCGATGTTGCTTCAACGACAGCCTTACTCAATGTGAGGACCAATTTTATATCAGTACGGGATTTCATGAGATACGTCACGAGAAGATGCAGGTGGTATGGGTCACATTGCGCATCGTACAGAATGATCGTGGAAAGATGGTAGCGAGCTTCGACCAGATCCCAATGTACATCGAGAAGTTTAAATCGGTAGAAGAGACAACGGCTCAATTCCACTCGCACTTTTCTCCCATGCAGGTCCGCGGCGGGAAGAGCTCGTAGCAGCTCTCTGTAAATATCTATGGCTGCCATGAGCTTTTCCCGGGATCCTTCGCTTTTATAAGCTTCTGTAAGGTCTCGCGCCAGAGAGTGGAGCACTCTTGCGCTTCCAAGGTGACGAGGTGCGGACATTTCATTAGCCACTTGAAACCGTTCATTATCTTGGGCCTTATAAAATAGATGAGTTATTTGTCCCTGGCTTGACAAGTTGATTTCGCTCACCTGATCCAGTGAACAGGATTCGCTGGCAACAACCGTATACGGTGTGTTCAATGGCTTCCTTGCCCCGAATCGTGCGAGCATCGAGTCTTTCGAGTGTGGCCGATTTATATTACCTGTCGACGTTTTCCACAGCTTCTTAGTCTTTTTCGCTTGTGTGGCTGGTATTTTTGATTCGTCATCTGCGTCGTATTCTGAGATCGTGGCTACACTCATGTACGGCCGTTGCTGTTTTTGTTCTGGAATTGCCCATTTGGAAAGGTTTTCACTGGTCGGAAGGCTCGATCTTTTTTCTAATCGCTTCAAGCGCTTGCGTAGACGTCCATCGTACTCAGATTCCTCTGTATCGTCCTTTACCCATTGCGAAGCGGGATAGTTTGACTGGGTTTGATCGTTCCACGAAACAATGTTGTCTTCCGGGGCAGCTGTTCTGTCACGGCCTTGAAAAAGACATACTTTTGAATTGCAGGGTTGCTCCGAACTGTCTCGTGGTGGGCTCTTTGCATATATCTGAACTTGGGGTAGAACCTTCAGTCTCGGACGAATTTTCAAATGTATCGTATCCATTGCCAGGTACTCCAGCATAGCTGCCTTCAGACCCTCGGTTTTCTCGCAGTTCTCAAACCTAGCCATTATACAATTCCGCAGTGTATCTGCATACAGTGCGTGCTGTACTCTGTCTCGGTCCCCACTTAACGCATTTTCGATCAACCGGAAAGCTTCGTGTAAATCGCCCAAGTCTCCAGATTCGCTCCATCTAGCAAAGAGGAAACAACCAGCGGCATATGAAAAGCAAGTTTTGGGTCTAGATTCTTGTGTGGCCACATTTAATGCCTCACGAGACCACTGAATGGCCACTGTGAGGTCATCAACGGACCCAAGGGCTCGGTATCGAGCATACAAGAGTTCAGCAAGATCATAAATATAATCTGCCCGGCTACCAGTATGCGCGGAAAGCCCCAGTAAAGCATCTTGCGCCAGTTCTACCGCTTCGTTTAGATAGCGAACTGGCTTTTCTTCGCCATCTAACTCGTCGCTTGCTTCCAATGCCGCCTCAAATCTCAACTGAACAAGTTCTGCCAACTCACTCAAACACTTCGCCTGTCCGGGCTGATCTTTAAGGCCATTTGCGCGTTCACGTAGAGTATCGATCCATTTGTCCTGCTCATGGATTGTATGCTTGGCCAGTCTATGACGAGTTAAATGGCCGCGGAGGTGCTTGAGAAGGCCAGTGCAATCGGACCGAGTGATTGGAGTATGCCTCAACCCTTCCTGTATTGATTCAAAAGCTTCTTCCTTCCAAGTCCAGCTAGACGGCGATGGCCGGGTGAAAATATCCGAAATGCTATCAGACATATATACCTTCTCTTTCTCACTCGGGCTATTCGAGTTATTCGACGAGCCATCCAAGTCACTCGAGTCACTTGAGTCACTTGAGTCATCACTGTATCTCACATCAAGATGATTTGTCGCATCCAGTAGGGCCACCAGGTCAGACTGCGAGTCCTCTCTTGGAATTTTGTCCAGCAACCCTTGCAATAGTTTTCGCCCCTTTCGTGCTGGATCATTCCACCCAACAAATTTGGTTACAAGAACATAGCACCGATAAGCGGATATAGTGTATTCCCTTTCACTATATTTGGTGCCCGTTTTCAGTGCTTCCAGCAGCATCTGGATTGCAGTTTTCAAGTCCGTGACCGCGAACCTTTTGTGTATTCTGGGCTTTCTATTTTTGCTCTTGTCTTCGACGTTCTGACCGTGCGTGTTGTCTGAGATGTCTGATTTATTGGAGCTGTCGGAATTGTCTGATTCACTAGAGCTGTCAGGGCTGTCGGAGCAATTGAACCTGTCTGATTTACCAGAGCTGTCAGAGCGGTCGGGGTAATCGAAACTGTCTGATTTATTGGAGCTGTTGGAGTCGTCTGATTTACTAGAGCTGTCGGGGCTGTCGGGGCTGTCGGAGCTGTCGGATCTGCCCCAGTCTGAAATGACTGAAGTGTCCGTACCGCTTGAACTGTCCAAGTCATCTGCGTCGCCGTCGTATGTGTAAAATATGAGATCAGCCAAGGTGCACAGCGCATCCGGTCGACTGAAGGGGTCGCTCATAATGGCATCCAAAGCAGCCGTCACTCCATCAAGTACTCCATTTAACTGCTCTGCCATTCTCACGGGTCACCGAAATGTAATATGCTGAAATCGTGGATAAACGCTCAGGAAGTTGGAAAGATCACAACCGTGTTGCTGCAGTCAGCTTTTAGAACGCGCTAATGGATCCTCTTCCGCTCACGCAACTACCCCGCCTCAAAGAAGCAAACCTGACAACTTCCCAATAAGTTGGAAAAGTTATCTGTCTATAGACCTGGCCAGTGATATCGGCTCCTGATCACCGCTATCCGACTAAGGCCCTATCGTCCTCGCTCTGTGCTCCCCCAACGACCACTTTGTCGGTTCTAGAGCATCATCATGCGCAACCAATACATTTTCCGCACTCCCTTCCTCTCTCCTGCCGAGATCAAGCTAGGTAACCTAATCCCTAACATCTCCGATCCGGAACTGGACACTCGAGACTGCGATTTGTCTTTGGTGCTTAATAAAGACTATACTGTCAAACCTATCTCCGACTTTCGCGCTTTCTTCCAAACGAAGCACAACACCCAGCTCACCGCGTCTCTGTCGCGAATTCTCCGAGCTTCCGCAGTACAAGGCGGCGCCGATAACAGCTCCCTTGATTCCGCCAAAGGGAATATTCATACCCTGCGCCAACCGAAAGCGTTCTTCCAACAACTTTGCCAAGACAACGCCGTTAGGGTATGGCTGCAGGAGCAAATCGAGGATGGATTGGACGTGCATTTTGTAGTGGGGTATGTGACATTTCTGGATGCGAGGGCCGCAGGGGGGGAAGGAAAGCCTCTCTTCGTTCTTGGCTTCTGGCGGGATCCCTAGTGAGGTGCTTGGCATACCAGGGATTGATGTACAAGTGGCGGGTGAAAATACGGCTGAGAACCGGAGTGGACAAACCTACCTTGCACCTGGGGAGCAGATCTTTGCGTTGCGGGTGAAGAAACTCGTCTTCAAAACTTTTCGATCCAAGACTGTCGATACTGCCAAGTTGGAGAAACACACTACGTGGCAGATGGTCTGCGCTACTCGATCTGCAAAAAAGCCGAAGCCGGAGTGGGTGGAGGTATCACTGGAGGGAATGGATGATGATAGCATGACTGAAGAAGAGGCCGATGATGTCGAGCACTTTCATGATGATGAAGTCCTTGTACTAGATGCGGAGGGCTGAAACGAGGTCGTTCGCAGAAAGAACATTTTGCTTATGCAAACGAGTACGGGTCCAATGAAATTATATGAAATCACATAACCATAAGCTTTCCACCCCCCAGATCTAAAGTACTGTAAATCCAGCAGACCTAGACTCTATTTCTTGGCTCAATCCTGGAAAAGTAGATCTGAACTGAATCTGAAATGAATCTAAAATTGATGAGCAATCTATGGATTGAGATTACTACTGAGAGTGGGAGAAAGAAGAAGAGAGTTTTATTGTAGAAACCTATCAGGATTGTATTGAAGAAAACAATATGATGGATTCTGAATAATTGAGATGGACGGGGAGAGAAAGGAAGAAGGAGAGGAGAGAGAAAACTATCTATGTGGGTGGATCTGTCTGATAGTGGGTCCATGGGTGCCTAAGGCACCCAGGCACCCAGGCACCCAGGCACCCAACAAGTTTTCATACGTTAGTCGATAAAGCGAAACGGAAATTACAACGGTATCTACCATTCAAAGCAGGAGAAGATGATCGGGCCTTGGTCATGACCAAGGGAATCCCAACCGACAATAAACCAGTTGGTAAGCAAGTATCGCTTGTATCTAATCTCCTTGCCAATGTGACTGGGAACCCAAAGTTCACTTCGTCGCTGAAACAGGAATACAGACTAATCAAAGCAGGGTTTATTCTCCCACCTAATCTCAGGGGTTCGACAATTCTCAGCGGCGAAGTACCAAACAGTACCATCGCATTCAATACCGTACCGGCAAGGAACCGAGGATCAATAGAACAATATCTTTTACCCACTTCTGGACTGATGAGGGAAATTCTTGCTGTGGACTCATCTCCTGAGTCGGTATGGACGTGGAGCTCAAGCGATTCTCAACGGTACCAGACCTCACAGAAAAAGAAAATTGTGGCTTGGGCATTGTACAACATGACATTGTACGTGAAGCAACACAAGGCTTCAACCGTTGCAGAAAACAAGTCGAGGACGCAAGATGAGCAGAAGAAGTTCTTGCAACGCCACACGCCAACCAAAAGTGGCCTTCTACTGTCCTTTCCCGAGACGATGGACGATTTCCCCTACCCTGAGCTGGGCCCCCTAACAGAAAAAGGGGAAATAGACCTTGAAATGTACAACCGGTGCTGGGAATTGCTCCGTATATCGCCGGTGGACTTTACAAGGACAACATCCTGGTTCCGGATGATGCAGTAACCCTACAGAACTCGGGGCTAGTCAGCCTCTATTATCTGATGGAACACGTCGCATTCATAAACGACGTTTCAACCGGTCTAGCGGTAAAGAAGAATAGCATCTTCCGCTGACCCCCGTATCGATCTCCTCAAGCTCCGACTTAAATTCAATTCAGATTCATTTCAGATTCATTTCAGATTCATTTCAGATTCATTTCAGATTCATTTCAGATTCATTTCAGATTCATTTCAGATTCATTTCAGATTCATTTCAGATCTCCACGTAGCTCTGACTGATGTGCTGAGCCAGCTATAGGCAGACGAAGCGAGGAGAGGAGTTAAGAACGAACTTGTTGGCACATAGCTGCTAGGGACTGCAAGCCGATGATAATATCCCCTTCGTGTTGATTTCGGGGTCTACGGAAGATGCTTTCAAAGTTGAGTACCAAAGGTCCCCCATGAATTTCCCCATCTCGGTACGTAACTCTCTGTGTTGGTCGGAAAAAGGTATCCACGCAATTTCCGGTCTCATGCGGACTTGGGTGAGCTCCTTCGGACCATACCTCCACGTCTACTTGCCATGCCGGCTTGCAAGTAGTAGAGATGATAACAACGCACTTGGTGAGATGGTCGGAGTTGCTATACCGCCACTGGGCGTCCTTGCGTAGCTGGGAGTAGGATTATGACACGCCGACTTCAAGAGCTAGGGTAGGGAATCCCCCCACCCATCCCGTCAAAGATATCGACTGGAGACAGCCACCAGTCAGGTTCCTTAGCCACAGACCTTCCTTTAGTTCTTGGTGAAGGTCGGGATACGAAGGCCCCATTCTCACCGGAAAGACTCATCCAGGATAGTTGGACAGCTAGGGCTTGAGAGAAAACGCCAATGATTGAATCGTGTTGGTGATCTGGCCTAATTTTAAATAGTACTTCACGGCGACGATACGAGATTGTCACTCGTACTCCGGAAAGAGTTCTTGGTCGTCTTTGATCTTGGAGAATAGTTCTTTTCCTGTGTCTTGTAGATATATGAACTGGGACGACGTCTTCTCAACCTAGCTTACGTAAAGAAGTTGACGAAGCCCTAGAAAACTTGGAAGGTTCCCAGTGAGGTGGTGTCGTCATCCTCGCCTGTTGATCCGGGAGTGCGGATGAACAGTTGTATTAGGGTATTTGGGTGAGTGTTTTAAGAGTGCCCTGGAGGAAAGAGGATTGTGGCGTTCATTGATATTTGTTTTGCAACAAATAGGGATGTACAGGTGGTATGCTTAGATTCTAGACATGTTGTACATTAGCAATTAAGGTGAACCTGGTCCGTGTCCTCAAGGGCTTGAGAATGCTGGTACATTTCATTCCCTGATATAATCAGTGGAAAGGGATCTTATGTTATTCGCACCTCGAGCAATAGGAGCGAAGCCCAAATCTGTCGATGGTTGTTGTGATGGTGGCCTTAGACGTCCATGTTGGTGCCTCAGGCAGCGACCTCAGTAGGGAGAGTAGGAGTAGGTAGATACTCTCTCCACTTTCTGGTCTACACCCTATACATGCCACAACATTCTCCTAGTGCGAAATAGTACATTGGCCAGGGTATGACGAAGGCATATATCGGCACGCACATTTGGGAAATAAAGTTAAATTCCCATAATCCATACTGGTGCTATATCATTGACTATTGGATGACAGGGTGGGCTGTGGAGTATTATGATGGGCTTCTACATCACCGCAACCCAAATGTTGGAATCGCCGGAGAAGGAGAGTTTCCCCTTTCCCGATAATGTCCAGTCTTTCAATCTCAGGTGATGGAATCTCGGGGATTTTTTATTTCTAAGATAATAGTTCTTCATATCCAGTCATTTTTGGCGTCAAAATCAAATCCACAGAATCCTCGACGTCGGCCATCTTATCCCGGTTGCACCCTCGGCTTTTCCACAAACCCATTCATTTCTTGAAAGGAAAGGTCAATATGAGGAATGAGCACTACAGTAGCAACATGGTGATTCAATCACCTGACTCTCCCCAGTCTGATACTAACGACAACAACGACCAATTCCAACCCATCCATGACCACGGTCGTTCGTTTTCTGTCTCTCTGGACTCGGAAAAACCACCATCAAGTCATACCCCCGCTGCTGGGAGACGCTCACTTGATTTACGAGAACGTAACGGTTATATTGTTCTAAACGAAGACGACTGCTATGATCAATTGGGATTTTGCTTCCCAAGATGGAAAAAATGGATGATCATCTCGGTCATCTTCCTGGTACAGACCTCGATGAACTTCAATACCAGTTTGTATTCGAATGCCATCGGCGGTATTTCAGACGAATTCGGTGTCAGCCTCCAAGCTGCACGTTGTGGTGCTATGGTCTACCTAGTGACTTATGCCTTCGGCTGTGAGCTGTGGGCACCCTGGAGTGAGGAGTTGGGACGCAAGCCGATTTTACAACTCAGCATGCTCCTCACGAATATTTGGCAAATCCCTGTTGCTCTTGCACCCAACTTTGCGACTATTATGGTTGGGAGGGCATTTGGTGGTATCAGTCTGGCTGGCGGATCAGTCACACTGGGAATGGTAGCAGACCTGTGGGAGCCAGAGCAGCAGCACTACGCAGTAGCGTGTGTGGTATTTTCATCAGTAGGTGGTTCGGTCCTAGGGCCTGTGGTCGGTGGCTTTGTTGAGGCCTTCCAGCCTTGGCCTTGGGCTATGTGGATCCAGTTGATATTTGGCGGGTTTGTTCAAATTTGCCATCTACTGCTTGTTCCTGAAACCCGGACTACTATCATGATCGACAACTACGCCAGGAAACAGCGCAAGGCGACTGGGCTCAAGATATGTGGACCTGATGAATTTCAACCGTTCAAAGAACGTTTTTCTTTGAGACAAATTCTGATCACCTGGATTCGCCCTTTCAAGATGCTGATAACAGAGCCAATTGTGTTGACCCTGTCTCTTCTCAGTGGCTTCAGCGATGCCCTAATCTTCATGTTTATCCAATCCTTTAGCCTGGTCTACAAGCAATGGGGCTTCAGTACTGTTGCTATCGGCCTTTCCTTCATCCCTATCTTAGTGGGTTATATCATTGCATGGCTCAGCATGTACCCAGTACTGCACAGGAATTCCACAAAGAGAAAGATGAATCCTAATGATGAACATGCGCAATATGAATCCCGGCTCTGGTGGCTGCTCTACACTGCCCCATGTCTCCCCATTGGCCTGATTGGCTTTGCATGGACGAGTCTAGGGCCTCCAGTCCACTGGATAGGAAGCATGGTGTTCGCAGCTATTGTTGGCATTGCGAACTATACCATTTATATGACAACCATCGACTACATGATCTGCGCCTACGGTCCCTATTCAGCTTCCGCTACCGGTGGAAATGGCTTCGCAAGAGACATACTAGCTGGTGCTCTCACTATACCGGCCACCCCATTCTTCAGCAGTACATTTACCCTTCGATACTATTTCAATGTTAAAAAGCCATTACTAACGCCAGGCCAATAGATATTGGTGCACCGGATCGTAATCTTGAATACGCATCTACCATCCTCTGTATGTGTCCTCACCCCTACACTTGCACCGCAATTGCACTCTTTTAACACCCTTCCAGTCTGCATATCCTGTCTCCTTGTGGTCTCCGTCTATGTGATCTATTGGAAAGGACCGGTGATGCGCAAAAGCTCACCGTTCGCCCAGCAGCTGTCCTATGCTCGGCAGGAAAATGCCAGCCGTCGCGCTTCCATGATCTACTCCAGATCGGCGCCCCACTCTCGCAGACCAAGTGATACAGCACACACCGGTGTTGGCGAATGATTTGAGAGTTCATTAGAATAGCACTTTCTTTTGGGACAATAGACCTGATTCTTTATGACGTTCCCGCTTCGATGATCGAACAAGATATTCGCCGATTCCTAGAATATAATCTTACACAGATAAGAATCCATCTGGTTTCCGTTGCCTTTCGAAAAACGGTTACTCTCCTCTGACTAGCCTGGGCATGACAAAATTGAATATCTAGTAAATACGGTAGATCCGCTATTCATTTTTGCAAGTTTTCCGAACAGTTTAGCCGACCCTCAACTCAAGCCATTCGAGCCCGAAGCCGTCAAAACCGGACGCAACTGCTCGCGGCCTTCGATACGACCACCAGTATGGACGCCGTGCAGCAGTTCCCAGTCATGGCAAAGTTGCTGCGGTCCGTGTGTCTACAGGCGACTGCGTAAGCGTTGAGTGGAGACGAATACCTACAACGTAGGTAGATTTAAAACCTGGTGGTGGGTTTAGCCTTAACATTCCCGAATGCCAAGCTGGCCAAGTATCTCTTAATTCCACTTGGCATGCACCTGGGCATAAATCAAAGTGGGGCGAATAGCGAGGAGTAAAATATGACAATACAGAGCTGATATATTACGGTAATAATAAAAGAGCCTCGTGTATATAATACAATACAATAAGCTAGTGCCGATTAGGCCAACCGCATAATTAGTTACTTTTTTTTTTTTTTTTTTTTTTATAATCCCTGAGGGTGTACGTAAGACACTCTTGTTTACTTCATGTCACATTCAAGGGCAGCCACAGACAACATTGAGCCTCGCTGATGTTGCTTTTTTGGGGTATACCCTGCGATCGAGAGCCAACCGAAGTGAATGAAGCTGACTCGTTCAGTATCTGGCATTCAGGTACGGAGTACACAAGATCGAAACACCTGGTATCCTTGCCTAGGGGGAAATGTCTGTTATCGCTGACTGGACAGATACTTATTATGGACAGATACTTATTACTAGATATAAAGAGGAACGAACCCACTGCCTCCATGCCGTTGGCCCGTATCTGCACGTGTTGCCTCATGCCCACGCGTGCCACGCCTACCACGCGGCATCCAAATCGTTGATCCCTGCATGTGAGTCTTCATTTGGGGGCCGTAACCCTCAAGCGCTCACTTAACAGACTAAGTACGCTCTCTATAATTGCTTATCCATTGAATCTTCTAATTAATTTTGAATCTCTTGAATTATTTGACGGAAATATAAAATAGAAGAAAAGAAAAGAATTTACGCTTCTATCACTCCTAAGATACGTCGTACTTACTTCCTACCCCCCTACATCCTTGCACCACACATTCAAAATAGTACAGCCACGCTGGAATGCACAGGCACAGATACGGTTACGCGCAGACTTACCCCTCCAGCAATTCTGACGTTGAGGTCGCCTTTCCCCATGTGGACTTGACTACAATTGTAAAGGGAAATAGGAACAAAGAGATTCGAAGTCAGGTGACAAGATTAGCCTCTTTCGAGTTCTTTTTATTATAAATACTACCCCGGGGGTCTTTCGGAAGGCGATCCGGAGGCTCCCCCTTTCCAAGCTTTCTATACTACAAGACTACCAAGGCTGAACATCACCCCAGCCGATCATTTCACTGCCTATAGAACCCGTCTGCCATGTCTTCCGCAGACCTTCTCATCACCGGTGCTACCGGCTTCATTGGCTTCAAAGTTCTCCTCGGAGCCCTCCAGGCCGGGTACACGGTCCGAGCCGCTATCCGGTCCCCCGAGAAAGCCAAAACACTTGCCTCCCACCCCAAGATAACCGCTTCTGGGAAGACAGACAACCTCTCATTCGTTGAGGTTCCTGACATCACCTGCGACGGCGCTTACGATGAGGCCATCAAAGACGTTACCTACGTCATTCACCTCGCCTCTCCTCTCCCTTCGCCGTTCCTGGACCCACAGACCGGCATCTATGAGCCAACCATCAAGAGTGTGAGCACCCTACTTGCATCCGCATCCAAAGAGCCATCAGTGAAGAAGATTGTCATCACATCTTCGGTCTTCGCAAACACACCCTTCCCTCCCGACGCAAGTCAGGAAATTACAGCTGAGACCAGACTGCCTGACCTGTCGGGACCCTTTGACTCAATGCTCCCCGCATACCGTGCCGGCAAGATTGCCGCGCTGAACTTCACCGATAAGTTCATCAAGGAGAAGGAGCCTTCCTTCACAGTCATCAACGTCTTCCCCGGTTTCGTTTTCGGTCGGGATGACAGAGCTCTAGAAGTCAAGGACCTCTATGCTGGAACAAATCGCATCCTTCTACCAATCATCACTGGGCAGTCTGCCCCTAACCCTATGCCAGCAGGCGCTACCCATGTGGATGATGCCGCCAAGGTACATCTCGAAGCATTGAACGAAGGCATTTCTGGGAACTTCGGCGTCACGAAAGTCCACGACTTCAACGATGCTTGGAAAGCTATGGAGAAGCGCTTTCCTGATGCTGTTGCGGATGGCACATTCACGCAGGGCAATCAGCCAACCGTGCCCGTCAGTTGGAATGCTCATCAGACTGAGATTGATCTCAAGTTCAATTTCAAGACATATGAGGACATGGTTGTTGACGTTGCCGGACAGTACCTTGAGCTGTCTGGCAAGAAGGAGCCTTGAATCTTAGTGTCTCCCATTAGTCACATAAAAGGATATTTTGGTCTCGATACATCCTACAGAAACTGTTTATATTTATATGAAGCAAAACTTTGAAGCTCGAACTATATATATTCCAAACCGAGGAAGGCATGTTGTCACCACGTGAGGCACCTCAGTACTAACCGTCTCAGTTAAACTAATGGTACTATTCCTGAGTGTACTGCTCCCTACACAGCGGGCGCCAGCTGCCAAAACCCTATTTCCGGTAAATGTTAATGCCTTGATGCCTAGCTTTGGCCTGGTGGCTTGAATTAAGACCGACAGAAGAATTAAAATACCTGAATTACCATGACACTTCCAACAAAGTAGCCTGATTTTGCTGGCGCTTACAACTCTCAAAAATGAAGCCTTTCATCTCATACAATGCAGATATCTTTATATTTTTTGGTGGTTTGCAAGTGTCAGTGGAGATATCTCACTTTTGACACTTGTAAACCGTCCAAAAATACGGAGATACTGCCATTCGTGTGCAATAAAAAACTTCATTTTTGGCACTTGCAAACCATCCAAAAACATGAGATGTCGCCGTTTGTATAGGGACCAAAAGCCTCATTTTTATGGGTTACAGTCCTCAAGCATAAGTCAGGCCAAAATAAGGCATTAAGGCATTATATTCAGGCCGCGGTACATTGTATGGGGCGGTGTAAGGAGCGGTCAATAACCAGGCCAAAGCTAGGCATCAAGGCATGAACATTTACCAGAAATAGGGTTCTGGCAGCTACCTAGGTATACCGCTGCGTACTGCTCCCTGAAATGGCAAGTTACAAACATATATTAACTATCCCATGATCGCCAAAGAACTAGACAGTGCTCCATATATCCCCCAGGTGGAGTCATTTGGCTTATCGAGCATTCTATTGGCCATTTGACCTGAAGCGCCGAGCCTCAGCCCCGCGATCTCTCGTTCACAACTGTTTTTCTGGGAAATATTTTTCGTTGACAAGCTTAGCATCCTGCGTGGCTTGAGATCTTATTTACATAATCCTTTCAGACCCAAAATATCAAAGCCGAATATGGGTAGCTTTAAGCAACGGCTCAAGAATCTAACGCAACGGCCAAAGAAGGAGAGGGGAACCAATGGGGCACATCTTCCTCCGACCGCAGAGTCAAACGCGTCTAAGCCTTCGGAAGAATTGATCACGGAGGACCATGTACAGACTTCTGGACCTGCTGGAGATCTTGACAAGATCTCCAAACCTGCTTCAATGCATTGCAACGCAACCACGGTCTCAGGACTACCCGAGTTCCCCCAGCCCGAGACGATCGTGCCTGGTCCATCGTCTGCTGATACAATTTCAACCTTTTCAAGTGACAGCAATGACCCTTGGGCTTTGGCATATGTAATCTTGCAGAAACGAGAGCCAAAGTTGGTAGAATATTATCAGACTCACTTGAGCTTAGCTCAGCGCAACGGCTCAGTGGACCCGGCCGATGCAGTGGACGCAGATCTTTCGAATCCGCGGTCAGTCGAGTCAATGATGACGCGGCTGCTGGAAGACCGGGAGCAGAAACAGTGGAAAGTTTCACTTCTAGGAAAGGATGTGAAGATACGCGAGCAGACCGAAAAACTGGCCAAGTTTCTCCTCTGGGCCGACCCAGTCGTGAAGAACGCCGTTAGCACTCAACCATACGCAGCGTTGGCATGGGCTGGTGTTTCGTTACTTCTACCTGTAAGCCAACGGCGATCCCCCTATTGTCTATCTACTGCTGACCCAGACAGTTACTCTCGAGCAGTACCACCGCCAACCTGGCAATGCTGAAAGGCTTCGATTCAATCGACAACGTTCAGATCTACTGGAATATCTGCGAGAAGAGATACCTGCAGTCCGAGCATATGGAAGAATATCGAGATCTCATCAAACCTCTTGCTACGCTCTACTCTTATATCATCGAATACCAAGCACGTGCTATCTGTCATCTATCTGAAGCCCAACTCTCCCGCGCATGGAAGAACATAGCCGGCGAAACCGATTGGGATGGAATGAAATCAAAGATCGAGACATCAAGCGAGGATTGTAGCTCCTATCTCCCTCATCTCGAATTAGGGGAGATTCGCAATCACCGAGATCGTCAGCTGCAGGAGATTAAAGAGTCTCGAAGTATTCTTGATGAGATTTGCAACGTCTTAAAAGAGGACACGAGCCGGAATCAGAAGAATTATGAAGACCAGAACGAGCGACACCTTCTTCAAACACTTGCGTCCGACTACGAAGATGACAAGAATTACAACCCGCTGAGAGTTCCAGGCACATGTGAATGGTTCTTTGAGGGCAACGACTTTCGGAACTGGCGCGACAGCAATACTTCTAGTCTTCTGTGGATTTCCGCTGGCCCTGGTTGTGGAAAGTCGGTGTTGTCGCGGACTCTTATCGATGAGAACCGACTTTCAACAAACATCACAACATCAAAGATCTGCTATTTCTTCTTCAAGGATGGAGATGAGCGCCGCATGTCAGCCACCGATGCTTTGTGCGCATTGCTTCACCAGCTTTTCACCCACGATCCTACGGGTACACTAATTCAAAATGCAGTTATCAGTCACAAAAATCACGGTGCAAATCTAGCACATAACTTCTCCGAATTGTGGCGACTTTTTATCCAATGTGTCGGCTCACCAGAGCTTGGAGAGGTTGTTTGTGTCCTGGATGCTCTGGATGAGTGCAAAAGTGATAGCATGCGGCAATTTCTCGGCAATCTGAAGAATTCCTACTCCAACCCCAAACTTTCATCCTCAACCTCGAAGCTAAAGTTCCTGCTCACGAGTCGCCCATATGATAGCTTGGAGACATCGTTTCATGATTTCCCCGACACAACTTCATTTTTGCATTTTGACGGGGATGACAAGTCTGTTGAAATCAACAATGATATAGACCTGGTCATCGATGCCAAACTACAGAAGGTCGCCCGAAACTTTGGGGAGAGCGACCGCCAAATGATTTCCAATCAAATCAAGGAGATGAAGAATCGCACTTATCTCTGGCTACACCTCACGTTCGATATTATTGAACAGAGCCCAAGCCAGTATAGGCGACGGTCCGATATCAAAGGACTCCTCTCCAGCCTACCTTCGGAGGTCTCAGACGCATATGAAAACATTTTAGACCGGAGCAAGAACAAGCTTCAGACAAAGACCCTCCTTGAGATTGTTTTGGTTGCAGAACGACCTCTATCGCTCGATGAAGCCAATATAGCCCTGACTATGGCTTTGGAAAAGGACGGTTTTGATTCTCTCGACGACCTAGAAGCGGAGTTATGGCCACAGTGCGACTTCAAAAGCGTTGTGAAAAATCTCTGCGGTCTCTTCATCAATGTGTACGATTCGAAGTTGTTTTTCATTCATTTGACAGCGAGAGAGTTTCTCACTAAGCCCCCTCAGAGTGGAAAGTGGAAGGGACAGCTAAGCATGACACAGTCGCACACGAAGATGGCGCTACTGTGTCTATCATACTTGGTACATCTTGATTGGCAAGGGTCGGCAATGGAAACCAGGTCGAAGTTTCCGTTGGCTGGGTACTCAGCCCAGTATTGGATGGATCATTCACGGCCTGCGGAGACAGAGGAAGTGCTGGAGAGAGTCCTGAGGCTTTTCCGTCAACAAAGTCAAGCCTACTTAAATTGGTGGAATCTCTTTAACCCAGATCGACCTTGGACTGACGACCCCCCGCTGAAAGGTCCACGCATCGAAATTGGGACTCCACTACACTATGCATCGCTTCTCGGTCTCCAACGAACAGTAAAAGCCCTATTGGACAAGGGTACGGAAGTCAACGCGTCAAGCGAGCTTGAGGATGCGCTCCAGAATGCTTCAGTTGGAGGCCACGAAGGGATTGTGCAGCTGCTATTAGATAACGGCGCGGACATCAACGCGCCGGACCGGTATATAACTGCACTCCAGGATGCTACAGCTGAAGGCCACGAAGGGGTTGTGCAGCTACTGTTAGATAACGGCGCGGACGTCAACGCGTTAGCCAACAGAAACCAAACTGCACTGCAGGATGCTTCAACTAGAGGCCACGAAGTGCTTGTACAGCTGTTATTAGATTACGGCGCGGACGTCAACGCGCCGGGCGAGTATGGGACTGCACTCCAGTGTGTTTCATCTGAAGGCCATAAACAGATTTTACAACTACTCTTAGCCAACGGCGCGGAAGTCAGCGTGCCGGGCGGCGAGCGTAATGGAAATGCACTCCAGCGTGCTTCACATGGAGGCCACGAAGGGCTTATACAGCTGCTATTAGATAACGGCGCAGACATCAACGCGTCGGCTGGCAGGGTCCAAACTGCACTCCAGTATGCTTCAGGTAAAGGCCACGAAGGGGTTGTACAGGTGTTATTAGCCAACGGAGCGGACCTTAACGCGCCGGGCCCGTTTGGAACTGCAATCCAGTGTGCTTTAGCTGGAGGCCACGAACACATTTTACGGCTACTCTTAGCCAACGGCGCGGACGTTAACGTGCCGGCCAGCGAGCATACCGGAACCCCACTCCAGGATGCTTGCTATAAGGGCCACGAAGTGGTTGTGCAGCTACTATTAGCCAACGGAGCGGACGTTAACGCGCCGGCCGGCAAGTATGGAACTGCACTCCAGCGTGCTTCAAAAGAAGGTCACGAAGGGGTTGTGCAGCTACTATTAGCTAAGGGCGGGAACACCAACATGCCGGGCGGCGAGTTTACTGGAACTGCACTGCAGGAAGCTTGCCGTAAGGGCTACGAAGTGGTTGTGCAGCTGCTATTAGCCAACGGAGCGGACGTCAACCCGCCGGCCGACAAGTATGGAACTGCACTCCAGGGTGCTTCGGCTGGAGGCTACAATGGGATTGTGCAGCTGTTATTAGATAATGGCGCGGACATCAACACGCCGCCGGGTGAATATGGAACTGCACTCCAATGTGCTTCAGCTGGAGGCCACGAACAGACTTTGCAGCTCCTATTAGCTAAGGGCGCGGACGTCAACGCGCCGGCCTGTAGCTATGGAACTGCACTCCAGCGTGCTTCGTCTAACGGCCACGAAGTGCTTGTACAGCTACTATTAGCTAACGGCGCGGACGTTAATGTGCCGGATAGCGAGCATAACGGAACTGCACTCCAGGATGCTTCGACTGAAGGCCACGAAGGGGTTGTGCAGCTACTATTAGCCAACGGAGCGGACGTTAACGCGACGGCCGGGAGGTATGGAACTGCACTCCAGCGTGCTTCGACTAACGGCCACGAAGGGATTGTGCAGCTACTATTAGCCAACGGAGCGGACGTCAACGCGCCGGCCGGCAAGTATGGCACTACACTCCAGGGTGCCTCAGCTAGAGGCTACAATAAGATTATACAGCTTTTATTAGATAACGGCGCGGACGTCAACACGCGGGACGAGTATGGAACTGCACTCCAGAGTGCTTCATATACAGGCGGTGATGAAGGGATTGTGCAGCTACTATTAGCCAACGGAGCGGACGTCAACGCGCCAGCCGGTGAGAATGGGACTGCACTCCAGTGTGCTTCAGCTAGAGGTAGGGAAGGGATTGTGCAGCTGCTATTAGCCAACGGAGCGGACGTCAACGCGCCGGCCGGCAGGTCCGGCAGGTATGGAACTGCACTCCAGGATGCTTGCCGTAAGGGCTACGAAGGGGTTGTGCAGCTACTATTAGCCAACGGAGCGGACGTCAACGCGCCAGCCGGTGAGAATGGGACTGCACTCCAGTGTGCTTCAGCTAGAGGTAGGGAAGGGATTGTGCAGCTGCTATTAGCCAACGGAGCGGACGTCAACGCGGCGGGCGACAGGTCCGGTAGGTATGGAACTGCACTCCAGTGTGCTTCAGCAGAAGGCAACGAAGGGATTGTGCAGCTGCTATTAGCCAACGGAGCGGACGTCAACGCGGCGGGCGACGAGTATGGAACTGCACTCCAGTATGCTTCAGCAGGAGGCAACGATGGGATTGTGCAGCTGCTATTAGATAATGGCGCGGACGTCAACACGCGGGGCGAGTATGGAACTGCACTCCAGTGTGCTTCAGCAGAAGGCAACGAAGGGATTGTGCAGCTGCTATTAGCCAACGGAGCGGACGTCAACACGCGGGGCGAGTATGGAACTGCACTCCAGTATGCTTCAGCAGGAGGCAACGAAGGGATTGTGCAGCTGCTATTAAATAATGGCGCGGACGTCAACACGCGGGGCGAGTATGGAACTGCACTCCAGTATGCTTCAGCAGGAGGCAACGAAGGGATTGTGGAGCTGCTATTAGCCAACGGAGCGGACGTCAACGCGGCGGGCGACAGGTCCGGCAGGTATGGAACTGCACTCCAGTGTGCTTCAGATGCAGACCATGAAGGGGTTGTGCAGCTGCTCTTAGCCAAGGGTGCGGTATCAACACCCAGTGCCAGTGTGTAAATGAAATCCAGCCAATAGGTCCGGATGCCGACCATAGGTCGTCGGCGGACATGAGCCCAACACACAACCGATGATACCCCGAATGGCTACCCATGGGGTCCTTATTGAACATTTCTACATGACTTTCCTAGCCAGCCCCGGCTCAGACGGATGAAACCGTTGAATCGCTATAATAAAATACTTTTGTACGGCAGTTTTATTCATTGTATGGACAGGCATTCATACAAGATACACTGCTATCAACCTTTCAGGAAACACTCCCAGTTCTTGGACTGGGAGTGGTGGTACAAAAAGAGGTTTTAGACTTGTCAGAAGAGACATGGCATAGATTCCCGCGAAAGGTATATGAGTGGCGCCAGGTTGCTGAGTGACTTTGGACCAACACATGCCTAGGTAGCGCATATAATGATGATACAATATATAATTGGTGGGACATTTCTTAAATATGACAGTATTTCTACGAAAAATAGTCCCCGAACAGGTCCGCAATTTGATCATATTCTACACTATATTCTCTATATCTATATTTTGCAGCTACTTTAATATCAACATGTGAACAGTCTCTACTTCTAATACATTTAATATACACGAACTGTTCAACATTCTATGGAAAGGAAAGCTCGAGCTCGAGCTGGATGTTCTAAGCAGATGCTAAAGCAGCAGCGACTGTCAAACTATATGGTCACCCCCCGAAACAGACCAGCCGTATCCATCCTCTTTCTTCGTTTCTTTGTCCAATTTCAATTGTTCACGTAACTGTTCAATCTGTAGTTTGGGCTGCCGGATGTTTGGCAGTTCCAGCTCAGCTGGCAGATTGGTCGGTATGTTTCTCTTCTGGCTTTCCCTTCTGCCAAACGCATATTCCTTCAGCGTGCTCGCATTGTAAGCGATGACCGCAAAGAATCCAGACACGAGAATGGAAACCCCAACTTAGAACAAATTATCAGACAATGCTCCATGCCACAGGTAGTAGGGTGAGAACTCACAGATAATAGGGAATATCATGCGTCCTTCAAAGCGGACATCATCACCGACATGAGGGAAATCAGATATGTCCAAAGCAAGGAGACTTGTTAGGAAAGAAGCGGGTAGCTGCAAATATATCAGATAACAGTATTTCAGGACCAGACGAAAGTATGCACTTACGAAGAGAATTGTCACGACTGTGAACACCATGATCGTATCACTCTGCTTCGCGGTATCTTCACTTTGCTTTCGTGCGAACTCAGCTTCGACGATATTCGCTTGCTTCTGCTTTAGGTCGAGCAGCATGTCAATAGCCTTTTGTACAAACTCGGCCTCTTTGACCATTTCCGTAATCTCTTTCTTGACCTCCGAAGGTGTGTTGTAGGTAAACGTAGCATCTGGGTTGGAGCCGTCCTTCCAGATTTGCTTCCAAACACTTTCTTGGTCAAGGGCCAGGGACTTCATCATGTTCAGTTCATCACAAATGTCCTTGACTTCTCGGAGGAGCTCTGTCTCGCCGGCGATGTCGCCGTAAGGGTTATATGTCTCTCTTCCTTTCCAAGACCCATGCTTGGTATTGAACAAGCGAGTAATGAGTCCAGCCTCCTGTTCTGTATCATGTGTTTCACCAGGTTCCTTGTTCTCCATTGGAGGCCTGTTAGTGCATTCGTAGGTATTTGTTTGATTCTCATCGTCTGTCACTGTATTACCAAGTGACTTTTGGAATACATCGAATAAATGTGCTTCCTTGTCTCGCTTTTTTTCCATCAATAATTAGCGTAGAACCACCATTCTCTGGGAGCTGGTTCTGCGTACCACGTTCAAGATAGCTGCACGATAGACCCCCAAAGGCGATTTCTTGTTCCCCAATACTTCAACATCCTTCTTGTTAAAAAAGCTTGTAGCCGTACTGAGGATGAGTTCTTGGATGTTTTCGACCAATATCGAAGAGCTCTTTTCCTGAGCTCGAAGGTTGTTCAAAACCCGTTGAAGGAAACTGCTTTCTGTCTTATCTATCTCGTTTGTTGTGCTTGTGATAATGGTCTCTAGTGTAATGGGATATTAGTTAGACAGCCGTGTTGAAAATAGATGGTATCTGCAAGGACTCACTTTCGTCAAGTACCCAAAGCCAAAGCTGATTCACGATGAGAATCTTGCGTATATCATCCTTTGGTTGAGAATAATCGTTCGCTTGCTGGTTGTCCAGCTGTTTTAATCCCGTCCCGCTCTTGCTTTCTGCCTGCTTGAGCTTTGGATCTGTGCTACGCCACAGCACTTGATCTTTGTCTCTTGTCGTGGTGTCTTCAAGAGATGAATAGTAATACTGATCGAGGGTCATGGAGTCATGGACAATGTGTCGTCCTTGGGTAGATGGAGTGATCTTAGGAGAATGGGTCATCTTATTCTGCGTATCAGTCGGGACTTTAGCCTGTTGGACAGGGTCTGTGTTTGTACTCCGAGGGCGCTCGACTGGGCATTTCTTCCAAAACAGATAGGGCATCTACCGAGAATCGTTCAGTCAGAGGACTAAGGTGAGAAGAGAAAGGAAAAGACTAAAAGCAACAAAGTTTTGACTTACGTATAAAGCACTTCTGCCGAAATTCGAGATGTGGCTAGATTTGTTATTGGCCCTGATATCTGTACGCTTCTCATGGGCATCAACGCTAACCTGGCCATCGTAGGCTGTGTCAGACCGTTTATAATGCTTGTGTTGAGGTCAGTTTACTGGCATTCCAGATCAGGTGATTTAATCCCAAGCAGGGGAATGTTTCGCTAATTCCCACTTACAAGACACTGTGGTTTCATGTAGAACGTGTTTCCACCGGCAGGTAGTTCAGCCCAACTTTTGCGTACAAATTGTGCCCAAGGGCGGTGATCTTTGTTCTTAATTTGTCGATCTTGGGAAAGTCGGATCATGAGTTCCTATATTGCGTCAGCATGGAATCTGACCAGCAGTGGGAAATCAGTACTTCGACACAGCGCAGCTGACACAAACGGTTAGTAAATTGATAACAACGAGCGTGATCGATCATTTCATGCTACTAACATTGTTTGCGGGGACATGAATCCATCTCAAGTCTGGCACTCTCTGTTTCTCAGAGCCAGGTTCTCCCTGCATACCCAACACAGCAGTGGTTTCTCGCTTATTCGGTATATTGTTCGAGGACTCCCCCAGGGTAGAAAGCACTCCCTTGAGCGAATCGAGATCGAGATACCGACCAGGCTTCATGATCTTCTGAGGACCTTCGTCGTATATGATAGCAGCCATTGAACGGCGCTTGAGCTGGATGGAAGCCTGGTGCTCCTCATGATAAAGGTCCAATACTGTCCCCTCGAGGAGGCCGTAATCCTCGGATGAAAATTGGAATGTTGGCTGATTTTCGTCGTATCTCCAAGCATGATGATCTCGGAGAGGAGGAGGGTTCTCGAGAATTTCCTTCATTATGTTGCCGACTGGATCATCCTGTTCCCACTTGGAGATAATTTGCTGTCCTTTTTCAATGTGATTCCCGCTGAGGTACCACCCATTGGAAAGAAGCCACCAAACAACAATAGGCAGCTTATGGTACACAGCCAAGTGGAAAGCATCAAGCCCACCTGTTTCAGAGGGATCAGAGCGAGGTATCGATTGGAGAAAGCGCGAGAGATAGGTTTCCTCCCCTGGGGCCTCGAATTGTGCAGCCAGCTCCAGGACAAGTTTTGCATCGCCATTTAATGGCTTAAAAAATAGGCCAGTCTTTTCGATGTAGTTGTCTATTGTCTGCCACAAAAGGACCTCCATTTGACGATGACTTTCCGTGGTCCCCAATGCTGCTAGTGAGATTGGCGTATGACCATCATATTGCTTGCGAATAATAGCACCCAGAACATGGTCTTCTTCGTGGAGAATGTCACGTAAAACAGCGATCTTCTCGGTCTCCGTTCCAGGGCCAACAGACTGATAGGTTGTAGGGGATCCGCCAAGCCAGACTAGGATATTTCTGACCAACTCAATGTGACCGTATTTAACGGCCAAGTGCAGAGGTGTGATATTCTCATCAGTTGGGGCTAGCGTGCAAAGTCCGTTCAGGAGCAGTTGCTCTAAGATCCTGGTATGCCCACCCAGCGCCGCTACGTGCGCCCAAGAGGCCCCTCCCCTTTCCCAGAGAGTTCGCAGACTCTGTATTTTGCCCATGCATTTGCTGAACAGCTCCTCCTGTCTATTCAAGATAGCCCAGTATAGGATTGTCTCTCCGTGCTCATTGATCTCCTCGGACTTCCTATCGACCAATTCCGATAGAAAAGGCTGAAGCAAACTAGCCTCCTCAATGCAAGACCAAAAAGGATCGGCCTTTGCAGGAAAGCGTGGGAAATAAATCCCCGCTTCCAACAATTGAAACACAATCGGGATACGACCTCCTGTAGTAGCAGTCATCAAGACTGTATCATGCGGAGGGTTCCGCTTGTCGAACACAGTTATTGTCTTGATGTAATGTGGATCGAAACGGTCAAAGGTCAGGCTTTTGAGAATGAGTTGACTGATCTCTTGGTATCCTAGATGGCAGGCCAGATACAATGCAGTATGCCTGAAGTCGGCTTCTAAAGTTACATCCGCGCCTTGCTGAATCAGATACTTAGCCACCGCCAGATGGCGGGACCACAAAGCGGAGATCAGACCCGTTTGCGAACCTCGACCCTTCAAATTCAGGAGACTAGGTTCTCTGGCCAAGATTTTCTTAACGGCCGAGAGATGACCCCGCCTGGCAGCATGATGGAGAACCGTGTCAGTCCAGTAATCCCGGGTGGTTAGATCTGCCCCCATATCAATCAATAAATTAAAAATATCCAAGTGATCGTTGGTCAAGGCGCAACAGATAGCTGATGTACCCAGTTCATCCACCGAGTCCAGGAGAATAGGTTGCTTTGTCAAGACTTTCTCAACAGCCCCGAGATGTCTATGCATGACAGCATACTGGAGAGTCGTATCTATGGTTAGGTCTGCGTCTTTGTTAAGCAAATACTCAAAAATATCCGCGTGCCCGTACTCCAAAGCAGCAGAGATAGCTGTTCGACCTTTAGCACCCCGTGAATTTAGGAGACCAATGTGATCCTTCAAAAGATATTCTACCACAGCAAGTTGCCCATGTTGTACTGCAGAATGCAGTGCTTGAGTACCGTAAGCATCTTCAAATTTGGGTGTTGATACTCGGGAGAGTAGAACATCGAGCGCAGCGACATGCCCCCCTTGGGCTGCGAGGGTAAAAGCGGAAGTATCGTATTGGGTTATGATTTCCCAAATTTCCTTATAGTCTGATTGGTCCATCGCTTCCATGGCATCGATGTCAGCCCCCTTATCAAGTAACAATCTGACAATAGAAGCATAGCCCTTGCATGATGCGGCAAGAAGAGACGTTCGACCTGCAATGGTTGTCATTTCCAGGAGTTCTGTCCCGCCTCTATCAGAAAGGATTTCGACTATGCTTTCATGACCCTGCTGCACGGCAAGATGTAGAGCGGTTAAGTTGGTATCTGTGGTTGCATAGATATTGACCCCTCTCTTTAAGAGTAGCTCGACAATTTCTCTGTGACCCGATTCTGCTGCAAGCATCAGGGGAGTCACGTCGTTCTGAACAGTATGTTCGTCTTTGAACTGGTGAACGAACACAGCTTCGAGGATAGCATGATTGTCGAGGAGCGTTTCCACGGCATCTAAATTGTTGCATTTGATCGCCGTGTGTAGCTCATCTATGCAACGGTGTTGATCCAAAGAAACATCTGCGCGAATAGGCGTGTCCTCGGTGTTGCTTTTGTTTCGGGAATCTGTTTCAGTCAGACCAAATTCATCAAATTCCCAGGTAAACCACAGTACCTCGGACAATATTTTCCATCGTGGCTCAAATAAAAGTATCCAATTGTGCAGTATATCTATCATGAAGAATACAATGCTAAAAGCAAAAAGAAAATGGAAACACAATCCAACCCCCTCGCCCACTCAATACGGGATGGATGTTTTCGGGCCCTAAAAGAGCGCCGGGATCGTGTTAAAATTACGTTGCGCATCCAATGTATGTGAGATGGAATAGAGAAGTGGAAGATTTCTGACCATCAAATAGAGTCGGGGGGGGGAATAATAAACACACAGAGGTAAATCAGGGGTCTTGACTCGGACGATGCCAAGCCCAACCCCCCGCTTTATGTATCAATTCCAATTCAGCACCTTGAGCGCTTAGTAATGGGGTTTATTTATATCGAGCTTCTCATTTGACGCCAGGTACGGAGTATAAATGTACTATATGACTATGTTCTGCACGACATCAAAGCAGTAGAGATCGCAACTGGATTGTGATCATTTCTTTGCTGCTTCAGCGGGCGTGCGTCCGGAGTAGTATGAACTTCCCTTGCGAAAGTAATGATGAAGGCAAGCCTGTTTTGCAGAAAGCCTTTCCGCGGGGTCGTATTGGAGAAGAGACTCTAGTAGCTCACAGCCAGCACTCTCTAGGCCAGGGACTAGAGGAGTGCTAGGTCGCTTCCATTTAGGGAAAGTGCCTTTGTAGTCGGGTAACGCAGTAACACCGGGCCAGTTCTCTTCGTTGGGAGTACCAAGGCGGCTATAAAATCGAGAAGTCAATCCCATTTGAAATACAGCCATATAAAGAAAGAATAGAGATTTTTTTACCGGAAAATCGTAAAGATTTCGTCAATCTCCGAGTCACCAGGGAAGAGAGGCTTGCGCGTGCACATCTCAGCAAAGATAGCCCCTACAGACCACATATCGACGCCAGTGGAGTATAAGGGACTACCAAGAAGGATTTCCGGTGCACGATACCATAGGGTCACAACCTTATTAGGAAATATTTGTCAATAATGTTCAAGATGCGAGATGATTTCGACTAGGGTTTCACCTCATGTGTATACCTCCTCAAGGGAACAAGGAAAGCCCGAGCCAATCCAAAATCACCCAATTTCAGGGTACCATCCCGGTCAATCAGCAAGTTCTGTGGCTTTAGATCACGATGTAGAATACGATGACTATGACAATAGCGGACACCCTCAAGCAGTTGTGCCATGAACTTTTTCACCATCGCTTTGTCTAAACCGAGCTTCATTATCGCTGCATTCTGTAGAGATTTGCCACGGCCACCTTCGCTGACAGGCAGGGCGTCCATATATCTCTTCAGATCCAAGTCTAAGAACTCCATGACGAGATAGAGGTTGTGACTATCGAGATGTACAATATTCAGCAACTGGACGACATTCTCGTCCTTCATTTCTTTGAGAAGAGAAATCTCTCGGATAGCTGTACTAGGGACGCCCTCATCTTCGTCATCGAGTCGGACTTTCTTTAGAGCAACGATGCGGTTAGGATAGTTCAGCTCTCGAGCCTTGTAGACGACACCGTATGCTCCTATAGTAAACGAGACTGTCCGTTAGCTAGGGTCCAGGGGTTAACCATTGCCAAACAGACACGGCAAAATGTCACCTTCGCCAACTTTCTCGATTTTCTCATAATTCTCCATGGTGACACTCTCCAATCCCATTCAACAGAAACGTGGTAAAGATCCAAGGTAACAGAAGGGATTCAGGGGAGATAGAAAACAGTAGGTAGTGAGAAAGGAGTGAAGAAAAGTTTATAAACCCGCATACCAGGAACAATTATTCCGCGTGTTGCTATGGTGAATGAGCTGCAATATCTTCGGGATGTTGCTATGGTAGATGCAGTATCTACGGCACGTATCTTTTGGTCATGTAATTTACGGGCGAGCTGATCATACGGTAAATAAACACTGTTGGTATAGTGGTCTAACCCAATTAAGATCAGTCTTTTTTGGCAGTCACTTTTCTGCCTTGAGTGTTATTTATTATGGTATCACCATAGTAAAAAACACAGCCCCTGAATTACCTTAGCCACATAGTACTTCTATGATCGACCCCATACTCGTCCCCATATTAATTCCCCATAATCCATTAAGTCACATGATCTATATATGGCTAATTATGAGACTTTCCGGTGCTTCAATTCCTTCTCTCATTCAGGTCTTAAACAAAATTCACAAAAGAGGCCATATAAATAGAAATTCTGGATTCTCTCTATATTTCATCGAAGCATGTTGACCTAGAAGACAAGTTTTGGACCAGAATCTGAAGAAACAGATACTTCATTTTGCTGTCTCAGGCATCAACATTAAGCAAACGCTGCAAATTCTCTCAGCCGCACAAATTGACCCACCCCGTGGCACTCCCTCTACTTTATCAGCTGGGCATTTAGCGCTTTTACTTTATCTGTCTCTTACTTCCTGGGAACGCCTTACCAATATGCTACCTCACAACCTAAGTTCCAAAGTCTAGGGCCATTGGAGACGACTTGTGGTTAACCGCGGCGATCCGAAGAAGCTGAAGTACACAACTTCAGACCTATCCTCACTTAACATCAAGCTAGTCTCTGCCAATGACACAGATTATGTTTCCTGGTTTGAGCCTTTTGATGGACTTGACAATCTCACGTTAACGGAGCCTGAATCACTCAACAAGCTACCAACGCTTGATCAAGAGGCGGACTAAAGCTTGACGTGCCCTCACGTCAACTACGACATTGTTCGGTTTGCTATAGGCTATAGTATGCTATCCAGGACCGCACTGAGAGCAATGCGGACCTTGTCAATTTTCCTGATCCCGGGGAGTCTCTGAGCACAATTAGGCCCTGGTCAAAGATCGAGTAAGTGGCGTCCCTTGCGATTTGAATGCCTTTGCTAAAAATCTTATTTAATCTAGCGAGGAAGATGAATTTTATAAGATCGGTCATATTCGTGCACCTAGTCCAGTTACCTGGGGGTGGCACTAGCTCAGTCTAGATGAATTCTGCATTCGAGATCGCGAGTACCAGATAACACCCTATCCGCATTTACAGATGGCCATTTTTAGCTTCGACTGCCCTGACGATAGTTGCATTCTCGTAAGTGAGCTTTCCGCTTTAGTGCAATTGATTGACATCCGGTCCCGTCAGCCTACCTTCTCGGGGAGTCCGAGCATCGCTGCCTTGTTAATCTCCATTTTTGGCGCTCGTCAAGTACGCGTGATCCAAGCCTTCTATCCCAAAGGAAAGTGTAAGGAAGGAGGGAAAGAGGGATAGCCTGAGCTCATGGTGAAGCTGGGGAAGACAATTGATTTTGCCAGCGAGAATGAAAACGAGAATGAGGACCGGATGGACGGGATCATTCGGTGGATGGCGTGCAGCCTCAGTTTGCTATAGACTGAGAAGATTTAGGGCCTTTGTGAGCAATCTATCGGTACGACAAGATTGTGTCGAATCTGTAGGCCACCCGCTACGTGGCCAACTTTGTATACCGAATAGGTCTCCCCTAGCAGTTTTAATACGTTAGGATCGAGGAAAACGACGACGACGAACCGATAAGCCTTACAACAATGGATCTAGGTGTGGAAGACTATGGGTATTAGCCAATGATGAGAAACGATACTGTGACACGAGAACTCAGCCAAAGTCGACAAATATACGAATCAACTGGTCACGATAATGTTACTATCAACCATGCCGCAGTGTATTCCATACCTTCACCTAGGAGAGTTTGCCGATCCGATCGGTCACGGGTGAAACCTTCTACGCAGAAGGTTATGGTGACGTTGTCATTGATCTTGCATTTTACGACTATGCAACTGACGAACAGGACACTAAGGAGCGTATCCGCATAGAGGGCATCGTGCTCCGGAAGGTTTGGTAAGCTCCAAGCCTAAAACATAGTCTGATTTCGACACGACAGCTTGCTACCAATGGCACAATGACGATTCAATTGTTCAAGAGTCATACTAAGTTGAAATCCATGGTCACTAGCGAGGTGAAAGGTTATGCATCAATTGTAACTGGGGTAGGGGGTGTATATAGAGAGAGAAGTCAGACAAGTGAGGGAGAATTGGGGGAGAAGTAAGAGAGAAGTGAAAGCGAGAGATTGGAGATGCAAGGTAGGGGGTGCACCATATAACAATCATTATGTGTTTATCTCTTATATATGGGTTGTTCTGATTTATGGGTGTACGGTATATAGGAATGGGCTGATTCCACTCTTTACAATTACCATCCGTATACTCTGGGAGAGATCCCACTTGGCGTTTGGTTTCGAGTTCTTACTTCAGATGGACGAAGCGCCTATAGTCATACGCAACTAGTTAGACTGCAACAGGTTAATTGAACCTTGATTGACTGATTGGCTCATTGACCAGATCCGAGAATTCATTTCAGCCTCTGTTATTACGCAAAATCAATACATGTCCTTGCGAGTCCTCGTTGAGACCAGCCCCGACATAGACCAAGCAGAATCTGATGATCTGGGTTCTTTTGTCGTGATTTTCGATTCGATGATCGGTTTGACTTCTTCCTTGGTTTCTTCTTTTTCAGGCTTGCTGTCCTCACCGGAAGTGGCCTGTAGTGCAGCTGGCTCCGTGGCTGGCTTGCCGCAGTCGGGCAGGTGTTGGAACAGTTTGTTCCTTGTACGCCGCTCGCAGAATTCACACCATATGCAAATTACATCCAGTCAGTCCGCTTCAACGCATCACTCCCAACCTGGCATCCCGGGGAATGTGGCAAGTAATGACCTTGCGAATATGACTAGCAGCCGCCTCCGCCAAATCCAGGTCGTTTGAAACCTAGAAGAGGAAAATGGAGACGCTGAGGAGACTCAATTTGTCCATTATTGAACATTTGACTGCAACCACGGCGCCATACCCAAGACACAACCGAGCTGAGTGGATAGGAAGTGGACTTGAACTCAAGGCAAGGTTTCATGGCGCCCATTTTACAGCTATAACAGATAGGGACTTAAGGGTAAGAGTGGGCCGACGTACAGAGGTGAAGGCACGCATTAAGACTAAGGCACGGCAGCTATTGACACGTGAACCAAAGGTCTCAATGCAGGAGGGAGCTCAATTTGTGGCCTTCTTAAAGGACAAGGTGCCACCCGCGGGAGAGTAAGTAGGACCAATCAGCCTCTAATATTTATTTTAAGGTATCAATTATAATATTGTCACTAACTACTAGAGACTAGATCGGTCTTTCTAATATCTCAGAACGGAAGCGAGATCTATATAGGCGTAGCGATTCCTTTAGCAGCCTATCTCGCCTATATCAAGAACCAATCCTCTAGGCTTAACCCCGCCGATTTCTTACGAGTCCGAAGATACGGGCCGTATAATATCAGAGATTACTAGGATATAGCTAGATTCTCCTATATCGCTTTAAGGATCTTCCTTAGGGTTACCAATTAGTACTTAAGAATCCGGCATAAGTATTACCATTAATTCTTTATTCAAGCCTTAAGATATAAGTAGCATCGCCAATCAGCAGGTGCATCCTCGTGGCCACAGATTTCGTCGAGGCCGGGTTAGTACATGAATTCATCCAATTTCGATGACCGGTTCTCTCGAACCTACATCGTAGCCCCTAGGCCACATACGCAATGAAGCTGCTGTGGAAGGTGACCCGCGCTGGGCAAAAGCTCAAAACGAAAACCAATACCATCCTCACTGGTGCAGTGGCTGTGCGAGAGCCGCTGCAGCGATCTACCACAAATTACACTGGAAATCGACTCGACGAGCGCATTGGTAGCTAAGCTGCAAATGTTGAATCAATCTAATTTATATTGTGGGGAGAAGTCTCCCAGCAAAAGTGTACCAAGTGCCTACAAAACAATGGCCCCTCGGCCAAATTTGTTCGTTTTCTTGATATTGCCTGTACAGCTACCGCATGTGGGAATTGTCGGTGGAACGGACAAGACAGCGGTGCATGTTCTACCAGCACCCGCTTGTTCCCGAGAATTCCCAGGGACCCCGCCGCGGCCGGTCGTCTCGGTCCTCTATCAGTACCTCGGAGGTCCGTCTTAACGTTCAGGGCGACAAGGCCGGGGCGGGCCTCGCCATGGTTGAAAATTTGGAGCGCGCGCTCCGCAAGATACAGGCCGAGATCGGGCTTGACGACAGCAGAAACGCGGCAAGAAATGACGTAGAAGTGAGAGTGAAGTGAGAGTGAGAAATGAGGGTGAAGTGAAAGAGAAGTGAGAGAGAAGTGATAGATTGAAGGTAGGAAGTATACCCGACGACAATCAGTATATCTCTTATATATAGGTTCGGATGAGTTTGGATTTATGAGTAGAGGGAATCACTAGCGGCGTGGAGACCTTTTGATTTGGCTTAACATACATCATCTCATCAACTATACGACTCCGATGCTGAGAGATTCTCCCCTCGGGATAGGCTGTTAGCTCCTCAAAAAAAGCGGCTCCGAATAAGGAGCACCAGTTTCAGCCGGATCCTGATGTATATGACCAAGCCCTCTCATTGATTGTAGCTGCAGTCTCGATGAGCACATCTCTCTGGGATCCTATCTCGGGGGCTATGGTAGCCCATTTGCCAGAGTAACAGGCCTCGTTAGCGATCAGGAGGCGGACGTTAGGCGGGAGGATTGAGAGGGCGGACATCATCTCAGCTTTAGACAGAGTCTCGGGATTTGCATGCTGAGAATAAAGGAGGATGGCGCTATAGTCGTTACTATGCCCGATCAGCACGAGTATAATGCGATCGCCACGGGCTACCTACCTTGAAACATTTCGGATCCAGTCCATGATGTGTGATTCAAGGCCATGCCTCTAGTCAATAGAATGGGCTTGTAGCCTCCTAACTATCGTATATAGGAACTCGATCTCTCAAGTCCTCTCGCCCAGGTAGAAAAGGCCCGGCCATATTCGTGATATCGTAGAGATGCGTCCCCGAGAGACATGTCGGATGAAGCCCGTCTGCCATGAACTTCTTTGCGATCATCACAAAGTCTGTGGCTAGGGCCGTGTCGAACACGGACCCTTCAAAACAACTAACGCGAAGGTGCTGGTCCAAGCCAGAGTTCGTGAACATCCCTCAAGAAGATTGGATGAGAATACCGATGCTTGACGGCTGGGAGAAACGCGTCAGGCGAGAGAGTCTATCCAATGGTCAGAAGGAGAAGGAGCTGATCGACAAAGTTTTCGACGGCTTGAGAGCCGATGGAAAACTAGACTGGGCGACGAAACACACGCCGACGCTTACTATACTAAGAGATTATCTCCGGTTACTTTAACATCCGCCTTAAAGTAAGTTAAGATAGAGCTGCTATTAGTAACAGCTGCCTACTTAGGCCGACTTCTAGTCGATCCTATAGCCTTTCCCTAGCTTCTATATTCTTATTTATTATATCTTAGTTTAGCTAAGTACGAGTTACTTAGCAAGTAGGTTTATTGTCACGTCCTGCACCATACAAAGTAAGGTGCAGAACCCGCCTGGACCCGAGATGGCACCTTCAAGGTGGACCTTCGGAGGTCTTCGGGACCTACGCAGACATATCAATGGCCTGCGAGATATATGGGTCCAATGCACATAATCTCGCTTAGGCTACGCACATTGCATAACTAGTGGATTTAGAACTATGGATAAAAGGTTCATAGTTCAGTTTGAATACATACGCAGTGCTAGTTGCAATTGCTTCGTAGTAGTAATTCGTATTGTATATGCCCTTAGCACTCTGATCATACCCTTCATAAGACCCTTTATAGTAGGTCTTCACATTCTAAACTATCTTATTTTTGATCGGACCGCCACTAGCAAAATATAGTGCCTATACGCCGAACCCGCGTAACCACGGAATAAAGTAAGGAGACGCCGGAGGTAGCTATAGAAGACAACTTCGAAATAGACCTCGGCCTCCCCGAAGGTAAATACGAAAGGGTATAGGTAGGTTCTACGAACCCGACCGAATCTATCGCGGAAGAACCAATCTCTATTACGACCGTCGAAGATAACGAATAAATTAAGGGTTTAAAGGTAGTAAAGGCCCGCGTATAATAGCTTAAAGAACTTAAAGAGTATCTAGAGATATAAGCGTAGATAGAGAAACGTATAGCGGAATTAAATATAAAGGCTAAGCTAAGTATTCCTCTAATAAGAATAATATCGTTAGTAGATATAGATCTCGATAATAATAGGGAAGAAGATAACGAAATAAGCTTCGGAGTCCCCTTAGTATACTATATATTAAGTACGAGATATCCTCCGTACCTAACGAGTATCATAAAATATTCTAGAAAAACACTCTAAAAGTATAAGATATAGTAGACGTACCTAAATAACTACTTCGGCTAATACCTATACTACTTTAAAGATAATACTACGAAGATAGGTAGGGAGGTTAAGGTCCTTAATAGCGATATAATAATAATATAGGAATCCTATATTACTAAACCTAAGGTACTAAAAACCTATATAGAGTTTATCTAGTTCCTATAATATATAGTAGATAACCCTTAGGTTATCTATCGAGAAGTAGAGGAATAATAGATATATTACTAATAGAGACTAGGCTAATCGGTTATAGTATACTCGCTATATATCGACTAGATAGCGAAAAACCTACGTATACTACTATCGGAGAATATACATAAAATACGTCTAAGTATAGGTATAATTAATAATATTAAAGTAGAAGATCGTAGATAGATCGAGATAGATCTAAACTATTTATATACCGATCTTTTAGATCGCCTATAAACTATCGAATTAGACCTAAATTTATAGAAGAAGACTTCGAAACCGAGTTAACCTATCTTAGAGAAATAAGATAAGAAAGGTAAACGATCTTTTATAAAAACGTAAGATATAGAGGAAACCTCGTAACCCGCGTATAAAGAGCCGGAAAAGAAGCGTAGAAAGGATAAGAAGCCTTTATCTATATATAAATATTACTAGAAGTATAGCTATAAAAAAGTAAATACTACTTCCTCTATAGAAAACCGGGTAATAATATAAAGAACGGTAGAAAAGATAATATAAAAAAATAAAGAACCTAATACTTTAAGCAGTAGCTATATTAAGAGTTACTACTTTAAATCTATAACCTCTAAAAGCCCTCGTAAGTAAGGCTATAATCTATATCGGGATAGAGAAAATCCCTATATATACCCTTATAGATTATAGCGTAGAACGGTCTTTTATTAGTTAGAAATAAGCAAAATAGAACTTAGAAGACTTATAACTCCTACTATAAATAGTTAAAGCCGTCGACGGATAGGAGATTAGGTCCTATAGGGTACGAGAAGTAAAGTTTAGCCTAATTAATAGTATAGACGTAAAAAGAAGTTATAACCTTATAGTAGAAGTAATAGATATATAAAGATACGACCTAATCCTAAGATTTAACTAGTTAACCTATAAAAACCTATAGATAGATTAAAAAGAAGCTTCGTAGTAGTATTATAGTATATAAAATAAAGATAATTTTAAAAGAATTATAGTAGAGGACTATATATAGGACCTATTATAAGACGTAAAATATATCCTAGTATACCTATAGGTAGGCCTAGTAAGATCTATAAGACTAGGAGTAATATAGGAAGAAGCCCTACTAGAGGAATATATAGACTTCGTAGATATATTCGACCCTATAGAAGTAGGGATCTTAGTATTATATTTAAAGGCGGATTATATAATTAACCTTAAGGGAGATATATAACCTCTATAGAAACCTATATACCTACTATCTAAAGAATAGCTTTAGGTATTAAAGAAATATATTAAAAAAGCTATAGATAGAGGATAGATCTAACCTTTATAAAGCCTTATAAGGGCGCTAGTACTCTTCGTATCTAAGAAAGACGGAGGACTAAGATTATATATCGATTATAGAGGACTAAATAAGATTATTATTAAGAATCGGTATCTATTACTATTAGTAGGAGAGTCGCTAGATTGTCTTATAGGAGCTAAGATTTATAGCTAGTTCGACCTCTTAGATATATACTACCGTTTACGTATAAAGATAGGAGATAAATAAAAGACGGTATTCTATATAAGATATAGGCTCTTCGAATATAGGGTTATACTATTTAGACTTTCTAATATACTAGTAACCTTCTAATAATATATTAATAAAGCCCTTATAGACTTTATAGACGTCTTTATAATTATCTATTTAGACGATATTCTAGTATTCTTATCTAGCGTAAAAGACTATATAGAGTATATTCGAAAGGTTCTTACGAGACTCCGCGAATATAAGCTCTATATAAAGAGATCGAAGTATATATTCTATACTATAAAGGTAGAATTCCTTAGCTTTATCGTTACGCTAGAAGGCATATAGATAGATTAGAAGAAGATAGTAACTATTATAGATTAACTAGAGCCTAAGAGTATCTATAATATCTAGATATTCTTAGAGTATATAAACTTCTATAGAAGGTTTATAGTATCCTTTTCGAAGATCTATAGACCTCTTAATATATTAGTAAAGAGACCGGATATCTATAAGAAGGGTACGAATAAGAAGATACGGGACTTCGTCTTTATAAAGAAGGCGAGAGAAGTATTCGCTGTCCTAAAAAGTTACTTTATAAAAGCACCCCTTCTAACCTACTTCTAACTAGGTAAAAGACTACTAGTAGAGATAGATATATTAGGCTTCGTACTAGTAGCAATTATCTCGTAACTTGAGGAAGATAGTTAATAGCACCCCCTCGTATTCTATTTAAGAAAGCTTAGTAGGCTAGAGATATATTATAAAACCTACGATAGTAAGCTACTCGCTATCGTAGAGGCATTTAAAATATAGAGACACTACTTAGAAGGTACTATAGATATCCTTATATTATCGGATTATAAGAACCTAAAGGGTTTTATAACACTCGTACCTTAGAATCTTAGTAGGAGATAGGCGCGATAGGTGTCAGATGAAATATAGGCTATGTAGAAATGAATGTTAACCTCAAGGGATTAATATTGTAGACTCTAGAGAGAAAGAAAAGAAGAGGAGAAAAAAACTAGCTACTGTCTAACAATATCCTGAGTTCTGTGGGTTAGGATCACCTACGGCCCTATATGGCCGTCACGTGACTCTAACACCCTCCTTTAGGACGAAGACTATTACTATATCTCTTTGTCTCTACTAATAAAAACTCTCTATTTTGTTTTCTCATTTTCTACTATTTCCTATATATTGTAAACCTATATCTACCCGTAAAATTTAGTATATAGATTAATTAAGACCTAGTATCTAGATAAACTTTATATATACTTCTTTATTAAGCGCTTTTATAAACCCGTCGGCGACGTTGCTCTTCGTCTCGACGCGTTATAGATCGATCTTCTTTTAGAAAATAGCGTCTTTAACGAAAAACCACTTTATATTAAGCTAACGTATACTATTCTTATACGATTTCTTACTTATTAGTAACTAAATATTAATATTATCTATTAAAATAATAATTAGATTGCCCGTCTTAGGAAGATTAAGTGCCTTAGTAATCTTTAAAATCTACTAAGTATCCTTAGTAGGTCGATTTAGAGTATACTATTCCGTAGCTATCGACGATAGAGTTATAATACTCTATTTTTTCGAGTACTAAATAATAGGTACGCTACTAAAAAACTAAATAGTACCCTCTATCAATTTTAAATTATACTAATTACTATATAAAGTATCGATATATATAAAGAACGAGGTATCGTCTATCCCTCCTAGCGTTATACTAAGATATATTATATTACTAAGATACCTATAGATAGTACGGACTATCTATAAATTATTAGTAGTCGGAGAAGTAAAATAATATTATAATTTTATAATACTAAATTTAATATTAGGCCTAGTTTTAACTACTAGCTAGTTAAGTCTACTAACTAAAGACCGGAATAAAGTATACTCCTCTTAATCTAGAAGAGCGTTAGGATCCTTATTACCGTTATCCTATTTATAGTTTAGAGAAAGCGGAATCGAAATTAGAGAATATATCTATATCTCTACTAAGCGAAGTACTTCTAGATAGTATATTTATTATATTATCCGAATTATTCTCTTATCGTAATTCCGGATAATAGTATTACTAAAAAAATAGGATAGTTCTCCTATATCCTTAATCTCGAACTAACCCTTTACCTATTAAAAAATTATCTCGACCTCTCTGTCGGTTAAAACTATATTAATAAAATTATTAATATAAATAAGAAGAAACTACGTTAAATTATTATATATCTTAATATAGATATATAGATTATTATTAAGAGTATAAAACCTAATCTTAACTAGTCTTC